TATTTCAAGAAGCTGAACATGTGTCCAGCATATTGGCTTAAACATAACACGGATCATATGGAGTTACTAAGAATGAAAAGGCAACACAACTTAATTTTAAGGTTTACGGTTCCAGCAACCATGCAAAATAATGACAATGGGAAAATAAATTACCAGACTGATCTTTATGTAGGTAAAAATGTAGAAAAAAGATTGATATCAAATATCAATATATATATGATGAATATGGCATGAAATCCAACTGTGACAGTCACTTGAAAATCCCAACTTTAAGACGGACTTACGACAGTCGCAGCACTGAGATCACTTTGTGGAACAGGACCCTGGATATCAATGACAAGCAATCTTCAAACTAATTTACATAGAAATAAACCGATCCACTGCCAAGTGTGATAAGAAAATATAAAAAGAAACAGGTTGTTGTTTTATTTTGTTTATGACCAACCCTAAAAAATATTTCAGAAAAATTTGGTAAATGTGTGTTCAATCTGTGTGACGCTCTCATTACTCAGTTGCCATGGTTGCAGTTCCAAAACAGTGCAACCAATTCAGTTATTCTAAAATATTGCAGCTGTGAGACAAGGCAGCACGTCATCATCGATGGACAAATGAATCTGTACAATTATTTACTCCTTATTCAGAATGTAGTCAGTCTTGAGACTCTTTGTGCCTACAATCTCATAATGCAATATAATATTTCCACCGGCGCCTTTGACAGCTGTATGATACAAACCTAATTGAGCACTTTGTGAAGCAGCTTTTTTCAGCCTAATAATTTACTCCCCTTTCATATTTCTAAGCAGGCACTAAGATTTATTCCCTAACAAATGTGTAAAAAGTTACCAGAAACTCCTGACTATCTCAACTATTCATGCTACTGGTTCATGATTAATGGGAACCTGTTGGCACATTTGACCTTGTCATGACCTTGGACATTACGACAAGTTGCAACAAAAGTGGAGTGTTTCAGTATCCAGGGGAAATTTTGTGGAAAGCTTGAGTGGTAATGACTGCAATGATGAATGAGGTGTTCCAAGATCAGCTGTTGGCTACAAGGGGATTAATCAAGAAACAGTCCATCGTGATTGGATGACACAATAACTCCCGTGGGGGTATGATCATACAAAGGAACAGCCTTGTGGGCAGGAATCATGTACATCCTCGGCAAAAAACTATTTAAGAGTGTCTGTCTTTTTTGTTTAATGCCACACTCAACAATATTACAGCTATATGACAGCAGCAAAAACTATTTAAGAGTGTGCGTGTTCGTTGTTTAATGCCACGCTCAGCAATATTACAGCTATATGATGGCAGCAAAAAAATGTTTAAGAGTGTGTGTGTTCGTTGTTTAATGCCACACTCAGCAATATTACAGCAATATGACAGCAGAAAGTAAATAATCGACTCCAGTGATCGATATTGTGAGCAACAATCCATGCTGTCTGGGTACAATGCCACACCATAACCAAGTCATCGATACATCAATACATCAATACATCAATACATAAATACATCAAGTCACCTTCTCCAACCGGCACAGCTTCATAGAAACCACTTTTAACCCGGAATCCCCATAGCATGGCAGGAATCCGCAATATAAGCATTTAATCGAATCAGATCCAAATGTATCGTGAGTGGGTGAGGATGGTTTTACGCCGCTTTTAGCAATATTCCAGCAATATCACGGCAGGGGATACCAGAAATTAGCTTCATACATTGTACCCATGTTGGTAATGAAACCCAGGTCTTTGGCGTGACGAGCGAACGCTTTAACCACTAGGCTACCCCACCACCCACTAACTATATGTACTAAACATGCTGGAGACATTATGCCTGGTCATGCTTGGAAAACATGTATCAAGGTATTGTTTCTAAATTTAAATGCATTACTATGATTCAGACTTTGTTTTTTTAGCCCTGAATACCATTCAAAGTCTCAGTCATAGTGCTACATGAAGCAGGTAAACCACTGGTTGATAGCATGAGCGTGATCAAGGCGACTGTGGTGCCAAAAAACACACATGATCAGACAAGTCAAGGCTATCTCCAAAATGTCTACTTGTCCAACATTTGTTTTAATTTTGCATTATTTTCAGTATTTATGGGTGATTGAGTTGAGTTCAAAGCCACGTTTAGCAGTATTTTCACAGGGAGAAATACCCTTAGTGATGCAGAAACATCCCCACATGTACAGGTATGGGCCAGCAAACCAAGGATCATAATCAGGGTGAATAAGGGCGTCAAACAAATAAGCACAGGATTCTGCAAGGGATGCAACACGTTTGTTCCCTCTGAACCAATAAGTGAGCGAGTTTTGCTTTACACTGCTTCTAGCAATATTCCAGCAATATTCCAGCAATATCATGGCGGGAGACAGCAGAAATGGGCATGTCGGGAATCGAACCCGGGTATTCGGCGTGACAAGCGAACACTTCAACCACTTAGCTACCCCACTGCCCCAGAAACTGGTTGTTGGTATGTTGTTTAACGCCGCATTCAACAATATTCAAGCTACATGACGGCAGTCTGTAAATAATCGAGTCTGGACCAGACAATCCAGTGATTAATATCATGAGCATCGATCCACCCAATTGGGATCAATGAAATGCATCAACCAAGTCAGTGAGCCTGACCACTCGATTCCGTTAGTCGCCTTTCACGACAAGCATAGTCGCCATTTACTGCAAGCATGGGTTGCTGAAGACCTATTCTACCCCCATAAACTGATAAACCCAGTTTCATCATAATAATGAGCTACAATTTATTCTTATTTAATCAACCCAGGGAAATAAAAAAAACATATTGAGCTTCTTCTTATTTTGGTCAACCCAAACTTAACATGCTTATTGTGAGGCAAAACTCTGTAAACCATAAAAACAAAACCTGTGGCCTCCATCCCCACACAGAACTTCATTACAACCTGCAGTATGAAGGAAGAGACAGAACAATTAGCCCTGATGCTGATAAAACCTTTCTGAGACGTAAATCTCGGTGGCCATTATTGAGTTGTCCATAAAATGAGGCTCATTTCTTACCCATGCCACTATACCCTTGATATGAGTATCCTGCAGAAGATTGCATGTTTGCCAGAGTGACCTCAAGAACTAGACCGTATTATGTGCCATGACTTACACAACCTCTTCATACAAGCTCCACGGAATGTTCTGATAAACAAACGTGTACTGACACATCAAGCTGTGATGTATTCCTGAGTTCTATTAAGCTGATTTACTGTTTTTAGACTGAGTTTGTTGATGACCAAATTACCTTAACAAGATTCAGTAATGTTTTCTACATTACCAAGCTAAGTGGAAGACTTAAGTCAAACAACACTGCTTGAGTGAGTGAGTGAGTGAGTGAGTGAGTGAGTGAGTGAGTGAGTGAGAAGATGAGTCAAGAATTTGAGTGAGTGAGAGTGAAAGTGTCTTAAGTCATACAACACTGCTTGAGTGAGTGAGTGAGTGAGGAGATGAGTTGGAAGATGAGTGAGTGAGAATAAGAGTGAAAGTGTATGAGTGAGTGAGAGGATGAGTGAGTGAGAGTAAGAGTGAAAGTGTATGAGTGAGTGATAGGATGGATGATTAAATGAGTGAGTGAGTGAGCTGAGTTTTCTTCCTCAATATTCCAGAAATATCTCAGCAGGAGACACAAGAAATGTACTCAGAATGAATAAAAAAAGGATAAGACATAAAAACCTTCAAGAAGATAAAACAAACGCTAACCCATAATCGGACAAATACGCACAATGACCCCAATAAGATAATACAAGATAACCTGTATTGACCATGCATGACCAATCACACTGTTTATAATCAGTTAGAACGAGCATCAGTTGATGTGGTATAACAAGCACCTGTAATGCATTGTGACAGCCACATTGGGAAGGTGAACTACACAACATCTGTCAAAGTCGCCCTTCTATAGAGCCATTACTGCCTGAAATAAGCATTCCGCCATCACCTGTCAATAACACCCTCACATTACCATCAGCACAATTACTTTAATGAAAGGGGAGCACGCTTCCTCATTATATATTTCTCCTCTTACATAATGGAAGCTCGTACGTAAGATGCTGGCTCTATGCTTAATTTCAAAATCATCAGGAACTCGCCTAGCTGCCATGATGATGGATAGATGCCCGAAGACACATACAGAAGAGGAAGTGCTAATTATAGCACTTTATGCGCATGTTGAAAATTAACTAATTTCTACCAGACTACCAGCTTTCACATAAATTCTACTGTGCGTGCATCCTGGAGTAGCAAGTGTCAGTGTGTGAGTGATATGCTGTAATTTATAGGAAAGAAATGTACATCAGTTGTGCTTAATAACGTGTTATGTAACACTTGGCAGATGATTGCATGCGTTGTGATTAATTTGATTCATAGCTGTGAATTATTAAAATTACTTTACTGATCAAACAGATTGTTGGGATGAACAAAGGTTCATAATAATAATAAGGTTCATGATAACATAACACTGATTTTACATGCAGGACTCAGATTCCTGGTAGGATTCAGATCCATTGTGAGGTTCAGATCCATTGTAGGACAAGGGTCCATGGTTACATGGACTCAGGTCTGTGGTAGGATTCAGGTCCAGGGTCTCAGGGCTCAGATCTGGAGTACTAAGGACTTGGGTCCAAGGAAGAGCTGAGATCCAATGAGGGACTTAGGTCCAGGATAGGACTGACATCCAGGGTAGGACTCGGGCAAAGAGAATGACTCAGGTCAAGGGTAGGACTTGGATCAAGGGTAGGACTCGGGTCCAGGATAGGAGTCGGGCAAAGGGAAAGACTCGGGTCCAGGGTAGGAGTCGGGCAAAGGGAAAGATTTGGGTCCAGGGTAGGAGTCGGGCAAAGGGAAAGACTCGGGTCCAGGGTAGGAGTCGGGCAAAGGGAAAGACTCGGGTCCAGGGTAGGACTCGGGTCCAGGGTAGGAGTCGGGCAAAGGGAAAGACTCGGGTCCAGGGTAGGAGTCGGGCAAAGGGAAAGACTCGGGTCAAGGGTAGGACTCGGGTCCAGGGTAGGACTCGGGTCCAGGGTAGGAGTCGGGCAAAGGGAAAGACTCGGGTCCAGGGTAGGAGTCGGGCAAAGGGAAAGACTCGGGTCCAGGGTAGGAGTCGGGCAAAGGGAAAGACTCGGGTCCAGGGTAGGAGTCGGGCAAAGGGAAAGACTCGGGTCGATGGGTAGGAGTCGGGCAAAGGGAAAGACTCGGGTCCAGGGTAGGACTCGGGTCCAGGGTAGAAGTCGGGCAAAGGGAAAGACTCGGGTCCAGGGTAGGACTCGGGTCCAGGGTAGAAGTCGGGCAAAGGGAAAGACTCGGGTCCAGGGTAGGAGTCGGGCAAAGGGAAAGACTCGGGTCCGGGGTAGGAGTCGGGCAAAGGGAAAGACTCGGGTCCAGGGTAGGACTCGGATCCAGGATAGGAGTTGGATCCAGGATAGGACTTGGATCCAGGGTAGGACTCGGGTCCAGGATAGGACTTGGATCCAGGATAGGACTCGGTCTGAGGGTAGGACTCGGGTCCAGGGTAGGACTCGGATCAAGGGTAGGACTCGGATCAAGGGTAGGACTCGGATCAAGGGTAGGACTCGGATCAAGGGTAGGACTCGGGCAAAGGGAAAGACTGAGGTCCAGGGTAGGACTTGAATCCAGGATAGGACTTTGATCCAGAATAGGACTCAGGTCCAGGGAAGGACTTGGGTCCAGGGTAGGACTCGGATCAAGGATAGGACTTTGCCACAAAAGTAGTGAATAGTGAAGAAGTTAAATTGTGCATAAATATCACCACAATAAACCTTCACAAAACCTGGCCCTATGGGTAGTGAAGGATGCCCAAGGTCTATAAGAGAAGAGGGAAACAAGAGCGAACCACATCAATACAACAGGCAGCATCCATTAATGACATGACATATAATATAATAGTGGAAATGAAATTAAATCATTTGGGATATAATAAGATAATTATTTGTTCAATTTTAGTCAAAAACAAAATAATCTGTCACAGTTTGTTTGTTTGTTGTTCATAACATAAAGCAGCCATTAATAACATTAAACAATGTTAAACAATCAATGTGATTATATTTATCACTTGGTACTTCACTTGGGGATTCTTTTCCTGAAAAACTCATTCCCTTTTGAGAGAGTTGTGATGGTTTTAAGCCATAATTATCAATATTCCAAACCTATCATAGGGATTTATCTCCACCTACTCAGGGGCCATATACAGCCCCAAGTCCACAGCAATTGTCAGTAAAAATTCCCAAATTGGAATTAAACATTTCCCAATTCATGCTGTTTTAGTTGTATCTAACGTACATGCCTTGTAGAGATAGATGTCTTGTATTACACTGATCACAAGATCAATGGAGATGAAAAGGCTTTCATGTTTAGTTTAGCATTATTGCATTGACTACAATGTCAAGATTTAATGTTAAATACCTCTCAAGTTAGGAAAAAGAAAACATTTGATTTTATCAATTTTTCCCATTTCGTCTACCAAGGGCACTTAGTTTGAAATCCTGGGTAAATCTCTGAATCAAGGCATGAAGCAACCAAATGGTGCTGTACCAGTATGGGGATTCAAACCTTTTTCTTCAAGAAGGTGAGCCAACACAACCACTAACTACCCCATTCATGTTATTCCGGGACAAGCCGAATAGCGACTCAGGCCCCTCTCATAGCCATTTTTGCGACCGGGTTCCGTCTTAGCGCAAACGGGCATACCTAAAACAATTGTCAACTCGTTGCATAATGGTTCACATATTATTTCCCCATGTATTATATATATTTCAGAGGCAACTTAAAGCACATAGGACGTGCAGAATTATACAGTATGATTGAACACATTTAACTGTGTCTTGGGTATATTTTTAGATGCAAGACATATGTAAAATCAAAAATTATTTCTGAGGGATTCTTTGATGAAGAACTTGAAATCATACGCGCATTCTGATTGGTTTGTCATATTTTCGCACATGACATTCATCGAAAGGGGGACGAGTCTTCTTGCAGGTTACGGAAAGGGGCGAGTGGTGACGAATGTAACTACCCTACTGACCCAGTGACTGGCCACAGTGACATGGACATGTGTGAGTGTAGTCTGTCATACAAGACCCTGAAACTAATATATCCAATACAGCCCATGCAAGTCTAGATTACTGCAGTTTCAGCTAGAAAGTTAAAGAAAATTATAGCTCTGCAGATTCGTTTAACTCTGAAAATGAAGAGTCTCTGGGCTCCTTTTTAAATTTTATAACTATAATTTAACTGGTTTTTTTCTGTAAAATATATTCATTTCAGAGACTAGATGTTAGTCTAGTGCGAGTTTTACTAATTAGTATTTCAAACAAACGATAGTCTATTATATGTACCAGTATACAGTGGTATATATACAAAATATCAGTTCTTAAATAAGTGTCATTTTTCTTTGAATACATTGTATATCAATTCCTGCAAGTGGCTGTAGCTGCTCTCCCCTGCGTGTTGCTCATAGACAAAAAGCTCCAGGTCTGTTGAAATTACAACAAGATAACACATGCAACAATCTTAATATTTATCTATCAAATAAACTTTTCTTGATCTAAAAACAATGTTTGTTTTTAATTTACTTGGAGTGGCAAGACATACGTTGTAATTTAGCGATATCTAACAATTTCTCCACAGATATGGTTACCTCCTCACGTTCAGCGACATGCCCCAGCGAGGTTCTCAATCAACAAATACCGGCTTATGTTACTCAGAGGGCCAGGGGGAGTGTGGTCAGGTCTCGGAGAGGAGCATTGGGGAACAGTTTATCTAGGAAATGATACACTTCATGACATAAGCTTATTAAAGGAGCTTGTTACGATAACAGAATAGAAGTCGTCATGACAAGCACGGCTGTTTGAAATGGAGAGTAAACAGTCAGTTGATTGTTGAAGAATTGAATCTGGAAAATACAAAATGTAAACGTGGTAAGTGACCTTGAAATTAATCTTGTCAAGAAAGAAAATATATACCGTATTCGACGTAATAAGCGCCCTTCTCTAATAAGCGCCCACAACGATATTTGCTAATATATTGGCTGGTAAACAATCCAAATTAGCACCCCTTCTGATTGATCAATGTACACAAGACTTATTTATTTGCGTATAATACTCACTTGTGTGTTATATGCACCCTTAATTGTTGGCAATCAAATTCTGGAAAAATATATCTGTTGTACATAAACATTTCAGGCGGCCAGCATAAACCATGAAATTTATCTTTCAAATCTGTTTTTTTCACCAAAATTACATTCTAATTAGAGCTCCCTATTTCTAATTTTGAGAGTGCTCTGGACGCTTATTACGTCAAATACAATATACAACTTTACAAGTGGAGATTATATATTGCACATAAAGACATACTTATCTACATGTGATTAGGCAAAGTGAAACAGGCTTGTGTTGGATCTTGTACTAGTTAGTATGGCAGTTTTATAGAGCGACCCCAGTTGACACATTATAATGACTCCGCAGCAACCAGTCCACTTTTTATCTCCTTAGTGTTGAGCACCAGCCAGGCAGGTATCTTTTAAAGTATTTCAGTATGATGGAGCCAGTGATCGAACCACAAACCTTTCAATCTCCAATCAGACGTTCTATCCACTACACTACATGAGGTCATCATGAATTTGTAGAGGCGGTTTCTGCTGATCATAGGGCAGGTATGCACAGACACACATGCAGGCACACCCATGCACACATGTACGCACCGACGGGCACACACTCACAGGCACACACACACACACACTCACATGCACACACACACACACACACACACACACACACACACACACACACACACACACACACACACACACACACACACACACACACACACACACACACACACACACACACACACACACACACACACACACACACACTTTGCATGCATTCACCCCATTCCATCCACCCTGAATAACACACTAATGATCCATTCAACCCAATATCACACGCTGACACAGCATCCTGTCCACTTCATAATACACCTCCACAACAACAATTACACGCAACCCTACATCGAACACACAAACACTTCATCGAACACACAACCCAATATCACACACAACCTTAATTTAAACAAAACCCAACAACCAGTGTTCAAAATGAAGGAGGAACCTTGGGCCCTTCATATGAGGTCTTCTAGGATGAAGAACCTTGGGAGACTCCAGCACTTTTACTCTTTCACAAGAATTTCATTTTCACATTTATTTTCAAACACAGCACACACAACCCACATCACAGTCACACACACTCCACATCACACAGTCACACACAATCCCACATCACACAGTCACACACAACCCCACATCACACAGTCTCTCACAACCCTACATCACACAGTCACACACAACTCCACATCAAACAATTACACACAACCCCACAACACACACAGCCCCACATCACACAGTCACACACTATCCCACATCACAGTCACACACAATCCCACATCACACACAACCCCACATCACACAGTCACACACACTCCACAGTCGCTAACAACCCCACATCAGTCACACACAACCCCACATCACACACAACCCCACATCACACACAACCCCACATCACACAGTCACACGCAATCCCACACAACCTCACATCACAGTCACATGCAACCCCACATCACACAGTCACACACAATCCCACAGCCACACACAACCCCACATCACACAGTCACACACTAGCCCACATCAGTAACACACAATCCCACATCACAGTCACACACAATCCCACATCACAGTCACACACAATCCCACATCACACAGTCACACACAATCCCACATCACAGTCACACACAATCCCACATCACACAGTCACACACACTCCACATCACAGTCACACACGATCCCACATCAGTCACACACAATCCCACATCACACACAACCCCACATCACACAGTCACACACACTCCACAGTTGCTAACAACCCCACATCAGTCACACACAACCCCACATCACACAGTCACACACAATCCCACATCACAGTCACACACAATCCCACATCACACACAACCCCACATCACACAGTCACACACACTCCACAGTCGCTAACAACCCCACATCAGTCACACACAACCCCACATCACACAGTCACACACAACCCCACATCACACAGTCACACACAATCCCACATCACAGTCACACACAATCCCACATCACAGTCACCCACAACCCCACATCACACACAACCCCACATTTCACAGTCACACACACTCCACAGTCGCTATCAACCCCACATCAGTCACACACAATCCCACATCACAGACAACCTCACATCACACAGTCACACACACTCCACAGTCGCTAACAACCCCACATCAGTCACACACAACCCTACATCACATACAACACCACCCCTGTATCTTTCAATTATGTATGATTCAGGAATTAATGAGATAACATCAAACCATGTTATATGAATTACATTGATTCATCAATATTTCTAATCAATCCTCACATCACAGCCTACAAATTTGTCTGCTTTACTTCTTAGACAGAGAGCAATTGATAGTCAATGATCCAGCTTTCAAACGTAACCACTTTTGATTCATTACGGGCATTAGGATGAACTGTACATCAGCCATGAAACCATCAAAACAGCGCCACAGACCTCAGAAAGACTCTCAGGCTGAACAGGAACTGAAATTAGAGCACATCCAATTTGCCATCTATTATTCACTATTAATCTATCAAAACCACACTACCCATCTCTCTGTGCAATCCCTTACTTTCTTAAATGTCTGCTAATTCTTTCTGGACCAATGAGTAATGCAAGCCTCTCTATGATTTATGTTTTACAGATACTATATTACGTACAACTAATATTTTCAATTTCATGCTTCATTAAAGAACCTCAGTTGGGACATTCTTCCAGTGTGGACTTCTCATATAACTCCTCATACAGGCTGTCGATAGGCCACGAAATGCACAAACAATTCAATTATGAATGTGTGTTTGGCGAAAGATCAACTAGCTATTAAGGAAGGAAAACATCCTTTCAAATGAAAGCGTCTAATCCAGTGAAATATTGCAGCTGAATAAAAGCAGTTAATATTTCTGATGATGCCAAATAGCCTTCGGAATTGCCAGTTTGAGAATAATTCTCTAGGAACTGTCTTTATCATGTCCTTTGTGGATTGAATTTATGGTTCAAGGGGGGCATTAAAATATCAGGAGTTTCCAATATTTTGAAACAATTGTCCATTTCAATTTAATTTCTGATTAAAAAACACTGAAACTGCATATTTGCAATACGCCCTGACACACTCCAAAGTTTTATGAAATTGTAGATACACATATACCCTGTTTATCATAAAATGGCTTAAAACTATATACCGTATTCGACGTAATAAGCGCCTAGGGCTCTCTCAAAATTAGAAATAGGGGGCTCTTATTAGAATATTATTTTGGTAGAAAAAACAGAGTTGAAAGATAAATTTCGTGGTTAATGCTGACGGCCTGACTGTTTATATACGACAGATAAATGTTTCCTGAATTTAATTGCCTATAATTAAGTGTGCATATAACACACGAGTGCGTATTATACACGAATAAATACGTCTTGCGTACATTGATCAATTGGAAGGGGTGCTAATTGCGATTGTTCACTAGTCAATATATTAGCAAATATCGCCGTGGGCGCTTATTACTTCGAAAACGGTACATTGGGGTCATTTACAGATAAATATGCAAATAAAAAAGGTCAGGCAGGTACTTCAAATGTAGTACTCTAAGAGTTTTACAAACAAACATGGCGTCACCCTGTCTATTGGCTATCGACCATCAAAAATGTGGATAAATTACTGGGATAATTGTCATCAGTATCAAAATAATAGTCAAAGAACGGGTAAATCAGCATCTGACAAGGGAATAGCTGAGGCCTGGTACAAGTGTAGGCAATTTAGCAAGGAAGGTAGGGTGGGTGAGTGAGTGGGTACCCGGTAGGATGAGATGGTAATGTGGCTGTTAACCTTCTAGCGCCTCACAGGTAGCTTGGGTTGTATACTCCCAAGGGAGCTGAGAATGAAAATCGAGTGCTCACTGATCCATTGACCAGGGTAATAATAGTGTAGCACTATGAGCATCGACTTGGTGAATGGAATCTGGTGCATTATAAATGCACTTATTATTATTATTATTATTATTATTTATCTTTCCCAGAACTCAATACAGTTGGATCTGGCTTAAGTATGTTAGAAACTGTACTTTGTTTTATTTGTTGCTATGTTTTGTTTTATTTGTTTGTTTGTTTGTTTGTTTGTTGCTTTATGCCTCACCCAGCAATATTCCCGCTACATGACAGCGGTCTGTAAATAATCGAGTCTGGACCAGTGATTGAAATCATGGCCATCGATCCATGCAACTGGGACACGATGACATTATTCAACCAGGTCAGTGAGCCTGACCACCCGACCCTGTTAGTCACCTCTTACTACAAGCATTGTTGCTCTTTACAGCAAGCATGGGTTGGTGAAGACCTATTCCACCCCCGATCTTCATGGATCTGCATTTCATAATGTCATGACAATGTAAAATGACCAGACACACAAACAACGACGTCTCTTGATAAAGGGCAATTACTCTGGTAGAGCAAAAGACTGTCACTGGCAAAGCATGATATGTATTCCATCATGTCACAGTGAGCATTTCTTGAGCTACCTCAAGCATA